TTTCTTAATTTCTTTCTTTCCTTTCGTCTCCCTTCTTCAGTCCCGCCTTCTCTCTGTTGCCAGAGTAAGTTTGTAAACACAAATGTTAATTGTGTTCGGCTTGGCCCAACCTCATCATTTAAATGCTCAGCTTTGCCTGCATGATAAAAACTAAAACCCCTTAGTATGAAAAACCTTTAGCACCTCTAGTCCTCTCTCCTGTTTTTGTTTTTGAAAGCATTTTATTGAGGGATGATTTACACAAACAACGTTTTATTGAGGGATAATTTAAACAGTAAAATACCCAAATCTTAAATATATAGCATCATGACACTACCTATATATTATCACCACAGATCAAGATTCAGATTATTTTCATCATTTCAGAAACTTCTCTCATGCCTTTTTCAAGTCGGTAACCTCTCCCCACCTCTCCTCTATTCCCAGAGAGAACCATTATTTTGACTTCTACCACAATAGATTGTTTGCTTGTTGCTGAACTTAATATAAATGGAATCAAAATATATACTCTCTTTATGATTGGCATGTTTTTGCTACTTACCCATACTCTTTTGTATGTTCTTTTTAATTACTGAGTAGTAATCTCTTATATCTGTTACATGAATATATCACACTTATTTATCCATTTTCTTATTGATAGACAATTGGATTGTTTCTGGTTTTTGACTATTATGAACAATGCTGCTGTGGACACCTGTGTCCTTTAACATTTTTTTTATCGTGGTAGAATATATAGTATAAAATTTGCCATTCTAGCCAGTTTTCAGTGTACAACTTAGTAGCACTAATTACATTCACAGTGTTGTACAGCCATCACCACTATTTCCAAAATTTTTCAACATCCCATACAGAAAATCTGTACCTATTGAATTAGAACTTACCATTCCCTTCTTCCAGTCCAGCCCCTGGTACCCACTCTCTACTTCTAGTCTCTGTGAATTGCCCATTCCAGATTTTTCTTATAAATGGAATTGAACAATATTTGCCCTTTTGTGTGTGGCATAATTCAGTGTTTATCCATGTGGTAGTACATATTAGAACTTCATTCCTTTTTATGACTGAGTGTAATATTCTGTGTATGTGTATGCCACATTTTATGTATTTATTTGTTGATGGGCATTTGGATTGTTTCTGTACTTAACCTTTTTTTAAAATACTTTTTTCTTAAAGATTTTATTTATTTATTTAACAGAACGAGAGAGAGAGAGAGAGAGAGCGCACAAGCAGGGGGAGAGGGAGAAGCAGACTCCCCACAGAGCAGGGAGCCCAATGTGGGGCTCGATTTCAGGACCCTGGGATCATGACCTGAACTGAAGGCAGATGCTTAACTGACTGAGCCACCCAGGCGTCTCTGTACTAAACCTTTTCTAGTTTCACATCATATTTACTTGTTGCTGAAGCAGCCATACTAAACTATGTATTCTTTGTGTCATGCTTTTTCTTTCCTCTGTGTTTTTGCCTTTACCTGTTGTCTTTCCCCTGTCATGCCTGACTCATGAATCTCTTACACATTCTTCAGGTCTTGGTTGATGTTACCTTTCTAGGAAACTTCCCAACAGTGCCAAAGTTAGCTGTTTTCTCTTTTCTATTTGTGTCAGACCTTTTTCATACAGTTCAATAGCTCCTTGCTGTATTTACTTACATGCATATCTTCTCCCCTAGGTTGTGATACTAACTTTAATGTTCTCAGTACCTAGCCCATCATTATAATAATAAAGACCATTATTTATTGCCTTCTAAGTCCTGGGCCCATGATAGTTTCTTTTTATTTATTATCTTTTATTCCTAAAACAGATCTGCATTATAGGTATGGTATTGTTAAAATCATTTCACAGATAACGAAACTGATGCTTAGGGTAAATGTAATCTTGTCAAAGATGACAGAATTTGTCAGTAGTCACAGTTTATCTGACTTCAGACTCACTCTTAATCCATTATGGCAAGCCACCTTTTTCCTAAAAAATGTTTGACTAAATGAATAAACAATGTTTTTGGCAACTAGTTGGTGTTTGACTCAGACCATATATCCTACATTCTGAATGTACTTGTTTTCTTTCGATAAACGCATATTAGCTCCCAACAGCAGTGTCATTGTTCTTACCTCATGATTGGGAAGTTGAACCATTCATCATCTCTCTTTTCTGTAGAAAGTGTGAGTACCCATGGAGAGAAGCACCCTATCCTCATTTTTTCTTATCTAAGTCTCCAATTTAAGATTAAGTGTGTGAAATGCCCTTTATTTTGCCAGGGAATCTGGTTTACCTTTTCCTATCAGTAGTCTTCTATGGATCCAAATGTATTATTAGCCTGATACTCAGAACTACTGACTGTAAGTAATCCCATTGACATTTCAGACCAGTTCTGCAACTTAATTGAGTTTTACTTATGTTGGTATAGGAAATATTTAACTAGTCCTACTTTATATGCTCATTTATATGTAGTTTTATTAGAAACTGCTGGCATAATTTATTTGTAAGAAAATCAAGACTGAATCCTCGTTTCTGTTACTCTTTGTGAAGATCAGATACATGTTGAACATGCATAAATATTTAAGCTATTTTACATTTTTTTTATTTTTTAAAGATTTTATTTATTTATTTGAGAGAGAGAGAGAAACAGCTTGAGAGGGGAGAGGGGAGAGGGTCAGAGGGAGAAGCAGGCTCCCCGCCGAGCTGGAAGCTCAATGCGGGACTCGATCCCAGGACTCTGGGATCATGACCTGAGCCGAAGGCAGTCGCTCAACCAACTGAGCCACCCAGGCGCCCTGCTCTTTTACATTTCATATATAAATTTGTATTTTAAATTCAGTCTGCTGATCCTTTTAAGCTATTGTCTATTTTATGTTTAATTAGGCACCTTTTAAAGCATTAATTAATTGAGCTGTAGTGAAGTATATAACATATTACACAGAACTGTTCTGGGGGCCATGGGGAAGAAGACCACATAGACACTTAAAATCTCACTTAGGAAATGATACACTAAAAAAGTAAAATTATGTCAAACATGAAGTAAAACAGAATAAGTCAATAAAACAAGAGCTGTAAATCAGATATTATATTCGTTGTCAAATGAGGGCTACAGACTTCCAATTGCTAGAAAAGTTCAGGAGAGGAGGCAGTTGCTGTGGATTAGGTAGGACGTATACATTCTCTGGTGAAAATTGCTTCTTGATTGAGAGAGGATTGAAAAACTTAAAATATTACAGTGGTTTGTAGCCCTCCATAGGGCCACAGTACATAAATAGATACACAGTATATTGTGTTAATAAAATTTCCTGGGGATGGAAGAAGCAATCTAAAAATGCTTGGTGGGGGAGGGGAAGGTAGCAATCATGAAAGAAAGGTTGAGAAACTGGGCACTGAAGGACAGGGAAGTTTTAGGGAAGTAAAGAACGGAGGGTGTTTTTTTCTTTTAAACATTTTTAAAATTTAAATTCAATTAATTAGCATATAATGTATTATTGATTTCAGAGGTACAGACCTGTGATTAATCAGTTGTATATAATACCCAGTGCTCATTACATCACATGCCCTCCTTAATGTCCATCACCCACTTACCCCATCTCTCCATCCCCTTCCCCTCCAGCAACCCTCAGTTTGTTTCCAATGATTGAGAGTCTCTTATAGTTTGTCTCCCTCTCTGGTTTCGTCTTGTTTTATTTTTACAGAGGGTGTTTTATAAGAATATAGAGTCAAGATAGATTTCTTGGAGAACATGATTTTTTAACAGTTGAGATTGGCTATGTAACATGTTTCAAGTGCTGCTTAATACTAAGCCCCTAGTTATCTTGAAAAGTAAAAAATAGGAAAATAAAATCTTAGGATTTCTTTTTAAACATGTTCAAATTCAAGTGTTGTGGTAGATTACTTACTGTGCCTACATGTTCATCCTTACCAGTTTTCTGACTGGAGGTAGAAGGTCATTCATTTCTTCATGCAGTCATGTTAGCCAGTACTGTTTATCTAGCAGACTCTTTCTTAGTAGATAAGGAATTCCAGTTCTCTTGTGCTGTCATCTTCACTGAATGGCACAATCTCAGAATTTTAGAGAATAGGGATGACTGTAGAGATTGTTTAGTTTTAAACTCTTTCTTTTAGATAGAAATGAGAAAATTGAGGCACAGGTTGAGAGACCTGTATACGGTTCCATCGATACTAGTGGCAAAACCACACTTAAGTACTTAGGTCTCCTGACTTCTGGTCCATTGCCCTTCTCACAGTATCATTCTGTCTCTACTAGTGTGAAGCTTCATCTGGAAACAAATCTTAATTTTAGTGATTCATCCCTTAAGTTCTATCCGGATGGTCTTTTCTTCATTTCATAAAGAATGTGGAAAGATTGTGGGTGTGGGAGTTTTCACTTTTTTTTTTTTTAAACCTTGGGCAACTTATTTTAACCTCTTTGCCTGATGTTCTTTATATGTTAAATGGGGATAAGCATACTTATCTAATAATAGGTGACTGTCAGGATTAAGTTAGATGGCCTGTATAAAGCCCTTTCATTTATGGAAGGCATATCTTAAGAATTGAATAAATGTTTTTTTCTCTTGTTTTTTTTTTTTTCCTTTTTTTTACCCTAGAGTACTTACCATATTGTATTACAGTTATTTATTTTATATGTACGAGGTGGGGTTCTTAGAGATTTTCCCCTCAGCAGTTTCTCGACTGTGTATATACAATAATAATTTGTGATCTGTGAATATAATCTTAAAACAAAAAACGAACCATTCAAGCTACCCCAGGAATTTGCTACTGAAACAAACATGGGAATGCTCTCGTATTTCATTTGTCTGCCAGAGAGAAGAATTGAGTAACTATTGTTCATTTTTAATACTCATAATTCTATAATAAACTGACAGTACTTCCTATATTGTTACTTATTTGAGGCCTTGCTTTGACCTTGAGAGAATTATTTCATTATAATTTTTTAGGGTTAGTCTAATGATTGTTTCATTTGGCTCCTCGTCTCTGTCCCTGACTGTTTCTATGATTGCCTTACAGATCTCTGAGGAATATGAGTGCAATGATGTAGCTTCTCAGGAAGATGAGGGGTTTATGGGCATGTCCCCTCTTTTACAAGCCCATCATGCTATGGAAAGAATGGAAGAATTTGTTTGTAAGGTAAGATAGCAGTTTCTTATAATTTCTCTGCTATATATTTAACCCTTCCCAAACAGGAACCTTTAAGGAGATTTGCAGTACTTTAGCCTTTGGTTTACTTTGGACATCATCTGTGGCAAAATGGAGACAAACAATCTCATGACTTTAACCCTGTTTAAGACAAAATACATTTGTTTACCTGAAGTAGCCATGATAAAGTTGTGATAAAACTGGAATATCCATCTGGGAAACAAGTGTTTCCTGATGTATGTTAACAGAGTAGATGTTTTGTTGACAGTTTAGATAAAACAGAATGAAAGTAGGGAGTGGTTGATGCCTAGAGATACTAAAATGCCATCTCCAAGTCTTTTGAATCTCTTCTGCTATGTAACTGTGATGGCAAATGTGCTAATCTTTCTAAGGATTCTGTGGGTAATCAAACTACTCTTTAGATATAAATTTCCCAGTTTTCATGCACATCTAGTATTTCTAGTTTAGCTGGCATGTTTTCTGTCTCCAGGTTTTTCTTCTAATGCATTATCTGATTCTTTAGGACCTATTGTGGGGATTTTTTTTTTTCTTCTTCTAAAATGGTAACTGGAATTGGGGTTGCTTTCTTAGAGAAAAGAGTCAGGGACACCGGTAAATTTATAACTACTTGATAATCTGATCAATAGGGACCCTGGCAGGAATTATCCAAAATCATAAGTCAGTCTGTCTGTGTTAGTATGTGTAAATAATTTTATTTGTTAAACATTTCTGGAGAGCTCTTGATTATTTAGAGAGAAATTTTTGTGACTCTTAGCTTTTTTTTTTTTTATAGGTTTCATGGAAGCAAGACTTTTTATGTGTGTGGTCTTAGATCCTGAAAACTAAGTTGGGTTTTCCTACATTCACAGTGGTGGTAGAAATAATTGGGGGCCAGTTGACTATAGAATACTGCACTTTGGACCAGAGGATGAGAAAACATTATAATCTGAGTATAGACATCTCTTCTAAGAGAAAAGGGATGGGTGGAGAGTAGTGGGGGAGGGGAACAAATATTTATGGGTCTACTTAGAGCCCAGGAAATTTTCAGTGTTTGAAAATTGGTGAAGAAAAAGCCAAGCAAAACAATAGATTCTTTCTAGTGATAGCTGTCTCAGAATTAACACACAGGGATGTTGAATATTTAGTGTCTGGGCCATTAGGGATTTTTAATATATATAGATCAGTGGGGTACTGTAGCTAACTTGACTGCCTTTTTATTCTCCTTTTCTGAACTTAAGAATAAAGAATAAAGCAAATAAAACTTCTAATGTAACAGCTAATGGGAGAATAACTAGGGCATTTGTTTGCTCCAGACTCTGATTTATTGAAGAAGAATGAGTGGAGCGCAAAAATTATTACCATTCCCATATCATCCTCTAGCAGTGTGTCAGTGAGAGTGGACTAGAGAGGCTTCTTGTGACACAGCGTTCTCCACGCTTGCTCTGCTGCGGTCATGCGACTGAGTGTACTTGACAACTAGCTGGGTCTAGTGACACACATGGTTTTTTTCTTGGATTGCAAGCAAGTAAACAATTTAAAATGAAGTGTCCTGTGGCCTTGCTGATACACACTCCCTTTTGGAAAAGCTTTTATTATAGGAATAGGGGAAATAAAATCATTTAGTCTTTATAGAATGTCCAATTTGATCATGCTCTCTTTTTTTCCATCCTTCAATTAAAAATAAGTGTTTTGTGCATTAATGATCTAATACAAATCCAGTGGACCATTGCTCAGATGTTTGATTTATGCAGTGCCTTTGTCAAGCTTATAAATAAATAGTATTTGGCCAAGCTGTGATCCTGTTCTTTTTTCCCGGGGGGGGGGGGTAAAAGAGGATGCCTGTTTGGGTTGGCATTTGGATTGACTCCAGGTTGAGGATTGAGGGTGCAGTGTCTGTTGAATATGACACTAACTTCAGTATAATTATGAAAGTATAGCTCCTTGGCTCATTTTAGACTGCTAGAATGTTTAGAAACAATGGAGAAAAATCATTCTGACGTTATATGCAAATATAACTAGTAAGAAACTCAACATATTCTTTCTGACTGCAAAAAGGGAGCATCTTGGCTGTGTGGGGTAACACAATAGCACTTTTCATATGGTCACAGCAGAACTGTTTGCAGATTGTGAACTGCCTTGAGGATGTAAGGATTGATTTCTCTTTTCCTCTCCCTCTTAGAGAATAAAAATTCTCCCAACGTAAAACAGAGTAGCATCTTGTAAAGTTAATGTTAACAGTAGCTATCTTTTTTTCAAGTCCAAATTAGAGAAAAGAAATTCAGTTTCCTAGAGTATTCTTTCTCACCAGAAAGTCCTTTGGAAGATCTCAAACAGCTACTTTACAAGTGGTAATACTATTATTACCAGTAGACATTCTATATCTAGATTAGTCTTTGGCATTATTGTATTTTTTTGTATGGTACGAACAAGCATGGAATGGCCAGATTATCACAACTACAGGCCTCAGGTTTTGAGTTAGAAGGCGAGAGAGGAAGTGGGGAGGCTAGAGAGAGTGAATTTTAGTAGTGTTAAGAGGGCCACTTCTCTTAAATTGTTAGTTCTCGCTTCCTTTGGAGTTACACAGAGGATCAGTTCTTTTACAAGTGTATTTCAATAAGAAGGATTAAGGAGAGCAGAGAACAGGAAGATGTGAAGCAAAATAAATAGGCACAGTAGCTGGCAGTCATTTTGCATTGTGTAGTAGAAATAGCCTAGCCACGTTATTTGTCACAAGAACCCTGAGGGGTAGGAGAGGGGTCATTGTCTCAACCTGAAGTCTATAGGTAGGCGATATACATGGCATTTTTCCTTATATCTTTCTGATTAGGAGGAACAAGTTAGTTTGGGATTAAGTGATCCTTATGATGTGAGCTCTCCGGGCTGAGAGACATTAAAAGAAGCAGAGTGCAGAGGTTGACAGGTTTTTAAGGATGGGTACCAAATTCCTGATCCCTTTTCTGTTAGAGTCTGTGGGGGAGGGACAGTGAAGAAAAGGGAGAAGGGGATGGTGGTGATGGGACTTTTGAAGGGCCCTTAACGTTTGAGTTTCTTTGCCATCTCTCCAGGATGAGGAGGGTGGATTAGTCACTAACTCTTAGGTAGGTTAATGGCCTCTGGGAATGGTCAGGGTTACATACCACCTGTGGGGTGGATGCTGGGGCTTGCTAAAACATTTACGAAGTGCTCTGGGTTATTTCATTTGATCCTTACAAAGTAAAGTACTGTCACCCTGTTTTATAAATGAGGAAACTGAGGCTTGGTGATTTTCTGATTAAAGCTCCTTCAACTAGTTAATGGTAGAGATCAAAGATTTTGACCCCAATGCACTTTTTTTTTAACTTCATGTTTGTTGTGGTAGGAAGAGAAGGGAAAGGGAGAGAATTTAGCAGAAGGCACACAAGTGATTCTATATACGGGTTTGGCCCTTGAATGATACAGGGGTTAAAGGTACTGACTCCTTCGCAGTTGAAAATCCATGCATAACTTTTGACTCCTCCAAAACTTAACTATTAATAGCCTACTGTTGATTGGGAGCCTTACCAGTAGTATGGAAAGTCAACATATTTTGTATGTTATATGTATTAAAAACTATATTCTTAAAATAAGCTAGAGAAAAAAATGTTAATAACATCATAAGGAAAAGAAAATTCATTTACAGAACTGTACTGTAAAAAATCTGCATATAAGTCGACCCACACATTTCAAACCCACATTCAAGGGTCAGCTGTAGTTCTTTTTCCACCAACAGAAATGTTAAGTATAAAAACAGTCATATTTAATATCACAGGGACTTTTCAGAGGTAAAGTCTGTTGTGGATGATGAAGGAAGGCAAGTCTGTACAGATGGACCCAACCTTTAGCCAGACTGAAACGAAGCTTAAAACCATTCTTTTAGGGCAATCAGTGTTGCTACATTGACAAAACCACAAAGATATTTGATATTCTTCTTCCAGGTATGGGAAGGTCGGTGGCGAGTAATCCCTCATGATGTACTACCAGACTGGCTCAAGGATAACGATTTCCTTTTACATGGACATCGGCCCCCAATGCCTTCTTTCCGGGCCTGTTTTAAGAGCATTTTCAGAATACACACAGAGACAGGTAACATCTGGACACATCTTTTAGGTATGTAATATCAGTGGTGCAGGGGATTAGTGATTCACTTTATTCTTTTTTTTTTTTTCCCCTGTGTATTTGAGGATAAGGATAAAACAAAAAAATGTATTTGGGATTTGCCATTTTGTTTTCTGGATTTCTAATGATGCAGTTTCTTACTGGTTTATTCTGCGGTTATCCTAGTTTGCACTTTGATTTTATTTATAGCTAAGTCATAATTTTATATAGTAGATTTTCAGACTGTGTTCTTGAACCAGGCCAAGGGAAAGGTGCTGTACAAAATATGGTATAATGTCTTAATGAACACTGTGAGGAAGGTGGTTATTTAATAGAAATACTGATTTTTCAAAATCATTACTTAGAATATTCACGACTAAATTTTAGTTTTGCTTGAAGTAGAATGTGATGGTTAATATTTTTTTCCATCATGATTGCATATTAAAGGAAGAATACAGTGGGGGAAGAATAGTCTTTTCAGCAAATAGTATCGGGAGAAAACTGAGTAATTACATGTAAAAGAATCAAGTTGGATCCCTACCTCATTACAAAATTAACTTAAAATGGATCAAAGACCTAAACATAAGAACTAAAACCATAAAATCATTAGGTAAAAACATAGATGTAAATCTTTGTGACCTTAGATTACGTGATAATTGACACCTAAGTTTGGTATAAACAACCAAAGAAAAAATAGATAAATTGAACTTTCTTAAAATTAAAAACTTTCGTATGTCAAAGGACATTATCAAGAAAGTGGAAAGATAACCCACAGAATGGGAGAAAATGTTTGCAAATCATCTATCTGATGAGGCTCTAGTAAAGAACTCTTCTACAACTAAACAATAAAAGGACGACCCTGTTTAAAAAATGAGTAAAGCATCTGAATAGACATTTCTCCAAAGGTCTACAGATGACCAATAAACACATGAAAAAATGCTCAAGTGTCAACTCTGTTTCAGTTTTTAAAAAGGGGAAAAAAAAGGGATGCTCAACATCATTAGTCATTTTGGAAATTGCAATTCAAATACTTTGAAAAATGTAATGAGATACCACTTTACGCTTGCTAGAATGGCTATAATCAAGAAAACGGAAAATAAGTTTTGGCAAGGATGTAGAAAAATTGCAACTCTCATACTTTGCTGGTAGGAATGTAAAATGGCACAGCCTTTATGGAAAACAGTTTTGACAGTTCCTCAAAAAGTTAAACAGAGTTATCAGTAGTTCTGCTCCTTAGTTATGTACTCAAGAGAATTGAAAACATGTTCACACAAAAACATGTATATAAATGTTTTTAGCAACATTATTTATAATAGTTAAAAAGTAGAAACAACCCAAACATCTTTCAGCTGGTAAGTGGGTAAATAAAATGTGGCATATTCATACAAATGAAATATTATTTGGCCATAAAAAGAGATGAAGTACTGATATGTGATGCAACATGGGTGAGCCTTGAAACATTATGCTAAGTGGAACAAGCCAGACACAAAAGGCCACATATTATGTAATCCATATACACGAAATGTCCAGAATGTGAAAATCCATAGAGACAGAAAGTAGATTAGTGGTTGTCTAGGGCTGGGGGGGTAGTAGGGAGTGGGAGATGAATGTAATAAGTGTGGGCTTCTTTTTGGGGTGATGAAAATATTCTGAAATTAAGTAATAGTGATGGTTGCACAACCCCGTGAATATACGAAATCTTTTCTGGTTTACCCCCATTTAACTTGCATTTTGTATCACACATTTGATTTCTGTTGTGTCCCTGAATTCCTTTCTACCTGCTAGTGTAGTGAGAATGGAATAGAGCAGCAAAACTAGTTCATTGCTGACTTCTACTCAAGGGTAAAAGTTTTTTAAATAAAACAGTTACTTAGCACATGTTTAACTTAATTTCTGTGCCTTCCTTGTGTTAAGTGACCTTTTCTTAAGCAGCAAGAATATGTGTTTTACTGTGAAGAAGAGCAGTTTAAAAACTGATTATGAAATAGGGTGAATAGGCATTTTATTGTCCTTAACTCTTGAATCTATTGGGCCAACTGGTGAGGACCAGAGAAGCATAATGTTCCTTGATGGCTGTTGGTGGAGGAAAGCTGTATTTTTCTTTTTCTTTTTTTAAAGATTTTATTTATTTATTTGAGAGAGAGAGAGAGAAATAGAGAGAGAGCCCGAGCGGGGAGGAGAGGGAGAAGCAGACTCCCTGCAGGGAGCCTGATGCGGGACTCAATCCCAGGACCCTGAGATCATGACCTGAGCTGAACGCAGACGCTTAACCAACTGAGCCACCCAGGTGCCCCAAAAGCTGTATTTCTTGACAGGGTTTGGAGGTATTAGAATTCATTGCAAAAGCAAACACCAAAATGGATCTTTGAAAGCTGGGCTCCAACATATGTGCCAAAAACTTTCTAAATGAAATTCTATACTAGATCTACAGGTAGAAATGGATTAATTTAGCCTTCTAAGGAGTAGCAGCATTGTCTGGTTTCTTTTTGGATTATGCTCTTAGGTAAATAAAATACTATTTTCCTATACACTCGGTTTTTGAAGCTGAGGAGTATAAGGTACCAGCAGTGTTTGAAGTAGACCAAAATTTTGGACAAGCTTTAGTTATTTGGAAAATCTTTCTCATGGAACTTTTGATTCAGGTATCATTGTGATTGTGAAGGACTGAGAACCTCATCAATACACAACACTGTTTCTTGACAAGGGATCGTCTTTTCTCTTTCTGTACTTTTTTTGTAGGTTGTGTATTCTTCCTGTGCCTGGGGATCTTTTATATGTTTCGCCCAAACATCTCCTTTGTGGCCCCTCTTCAAGAGAAGGTGGTCTTTGGATTATTCTTCTTGGGGGCCATTCTCTGCCTTTCTTTTTCATGGCTCTTCCACACGGTCTACTGCCACTCAGAAGGGGTCTCCCGGCTCTTCTCTAAGTAAGTATCGGAAAGTCTACATTGTAATCAAATATTAGAGTCAGTGGTTAGGGAAGAATATCCAGCAGAATTGGCAGAATTCTTGATACTATCTGATGGGAACTTAAAAGTTTTTTTTTTTTTTTTTTTTAATTAAAGCAAGCGTCCCTGTTTGCCTCTTGTCTGTTAGTGCTAGCTCATGTCATAGGGGAGTAATTGGAACCTGTAATGGGTCGTACTTTTTAACATCACATGAATTTTTTTTTTTCCCTATTTTAGACTGGATTACTCTGGTATCGCTCTTCTGATTATGGGAAGTTTTGTTCCATGGCTTTATTATTCTTTCTACTGTAATCCACAACCTTGCTTTATCTACTTAATTGTCATCTGTGTGCTGGGCATTGCGGCCATTATAGTTTCCCAATGGGACATGTTTGCTACCCCTCAGTATCGAGGAGTAAGAGCAGGTAAGAGATGTGGGGGTTTTACATTGGACATTCATTTATTTACCAGTCATTTATTAAAGGTCTACTTGCCAAGTCCTGTGCTATGTACTTGTGATGCAAAGATAAATAAGTCATAGCTACTGTTCTTCAGGGGCTTTTCATGTAGTGTAGTGTTCATTAGTTGTCTTAAAGTACATAGAGTTGAGGGGCATGGGGAGCTTTATGAGTCAATGTATATATTTTGTAATTCACTTGAGTTTATGACCACGTACTGTCCAAAAGGCTGTGGCTCTGTAACCTTTGTAAAAAAAAAAAAAAACAACCAAAAACCCACAAAAGAACAATGATTACTCTTTCTCATTCTCAGCTTGGAGTGTACTTTTTTTAGTGATTGATTCTTTTGGCGTCATTTTTTTTGTTTTGTATTTTTATTCGAAAATGTGTACTGCTTAGGTAAATAAAACTTCATATGATTGTATTCTACTAAAGTAAGCACCATACATCTCTTCTAATATAGGGAAAAAGAGGCTTTTTATATTTAGAATGAGGCCTGTCTTGATGGAGATTGTTTGGAAAGCAAAAAACCTCTGGTTGAGCCTTCCTCTATGAGTGGGGAGTTCATGGAGACATGTTTTTGTTTCCCACTGGACTGGGACTCCTTGTGGCCAGGGCCATGTCCTTCAGTGTTCTTTCCTCGGTATCAGACCTGGAGCCTACTGAGAATGAACAAGTAGTAGTAAACCTTTAAAACCTTTGAAACAAAACAAAAAAAAACACCCCAAAACCATTTCGTATTAAAATACGAAGCCATGGTTCATCTGCAGTTTCCTAGAAGGTTAGAAGTTAGAATTTAACTTCTTGTTAATGACCACTGTTTGCAACAGTCTTCCCACGTCCCTTTTTAAGTGATTATCTGAGCAGAGAAGCAGTGGTCAGGGGTGACTTCCAGCGGTACTTAACTGTGGGGCTAAGCCTGCTTCAGCGCGGGAGATAGAGAGTATGGCTGAACGTTCATTCTGCTGTGATACACATCAGAAGAACCGGGCTCCTGAGCTTTTGACTTCCAGAATGGTAGGCAAGACTGCCAGAGCCTCTGTTTAGCATGTGAAACAGGATCGTGACGGTTTTTCTTTAGTGAGGAGTAGAAGTAGGAAAAGGTTTTTATTTTGGCCTGCCCGATTCCCTTCTTTTGTGAGATGAGCATTGTCATTTTCCTCTTCTCTTGTAGGTGCCCATTATTTATCAGGTGTGTGTGCATGCATGTATTGTTGCATACCAGCAACTTGGTAATGTCCAAAGCAAGTAATAGGCTCCTTGTCTTGTATCTTGAGACTTAAAGGTCATTTCTAACTCTTTGTGTCAAAATGTGGAAGCAGTTATTGGCTCCTGGGTGCGAGGTGTTCTGTGGTATTTCGACTGACATGGATTTGTGTATGTACTCATAAATTCACACACATATGACTCAACTTGTATAAACTACTACTTAACACTCCATTTGCGACAGTTTGATTTTTATTTCATTGTAGTTCACTAAAAAAAAAATGCTAATCCAGATTCACCTAGGTCATATTCAGAAGTTTGAAAAACACTGCTGTAGATGATTTTGAAGGCAGTAGGGCTGTGGTGGAGTGATTCTGATAGATTTCTGTACCAGATTGGTACTTTTAGGACTGGGAGCTTTCAGGAGCAGTCGTGACCTTCCCCCTAGCCCCCCCAATTGCCACCCCCTGCCTTTCCACTTCACTCCAACCCCAGGGATCCCTGTTGCTTCAAAGGGGGGAGATAAAATATGTGAAATTGCTCTGTATTGCAATCTGTGTCTATGAAGTGGCAGCATTTAGGAAAGTTTGTTTTAAACAAACTCCTTGAGCTGTCTATTCCTGAAATACTTAACAACACATTTCTAAGCCCTTTGAGGACTGCTGACTTGTTAAGCTGAGCCTCTCTCAGCAGGAGGCTCCTTGCATTTGTAAATAGATCTCTTTTAGAACAGAACTGTGCTATCTGTTGTGGCAGTATCCCAGAGTTTGAAGAACCTTCTTTTTCCTTTCAAACAAGAAGCCTCATACTTGAAATACTGAGTTTATAGAATTACTAGTGCTGTGTTGTAATACTGACTTCTTCCTTACTTCTCTTCTGCATTTTTACTTTATTCTATTCTTGTGATTGCCAGGAGTATTTTTGGGCCTTGGCCTGAGTGGAATCATTCCTACCTTGCACTATGTCATCTCGGAGGGATTCCTAAAGGCCGCCACCATAGGGCAGATTGGCTGGCTGATGCTGATGGCCAGCCTCTATATCACAGGCGCCGCCCTCTATGCTGCCCGCATCCCTGAACGCTTTTTTCCTGGCAAGTGTGATATCTGGGTAAGTATGACCAGGGGCAGTTAGTATGTATATATACATATCTGTTAGTATGTTACTGGCAGACCGGAAAGTGAAATAATTGAAAAAATTTTAGACTCAAAATTGCGAGACCTGTATTTTAGTTGTAACTCTTCCTCATTAGTTGTGTTTCTCTGGATAAGTACAGTGATGACTAACATTTACTTGGTGGTTGGCATGGTTCTGAGTGAGCACTTTACACACATTACCCCGTTTAATACGTTGGCCCTCTAAGATATGACAACTATTATTAATGTTTTCATTTTACAGATTAGGAAATGAGGCTTAGGGAGATTAGGTCATGTGTCCAGTGTTAGGACAAGTTGCTCCTGGGTGGTAGGAGTGGGATTTGAATCAGGCTAGTCTAATACCCGAGTCTGTGCTCCTCTACTACCCTGAACTGGCAAGACATTCTAGCTTGTTTTGGTTTCCTCCTTTTAGAAAATGAGGGTGATGGACTAGATTGTTTACCAAAGTCCTTTTTGATACTAAAATCCGATGATTTGTAATGAGAGATTGAGTGTGTATACATGTGTTTTTGGTAGCAAGAGAGGAGGGAGAGCTAACTAGATTGTGGTTAAGAGAGAGGGAAAGAGAAGGGGAAAGAAATGTAAGGGACCAATAGATGGAAAATTTTGTAATTGAAGATGGCCTGAAACATTTTCAATAGGTACAGAATTGAAAAGTTGTTTGATACGAAGTCTGACCTTTGGAATTCTGTTCCTTGACCTGTTGCTGATTATTGTAAACTAAGTTGATCATCTAGTCTTCAAAGTTTAATTTAGTCCTTCATAAAATGAAGGTAATGCTAATTTAGGCAATCTTTTCAGATTCAAATTAGTTAATTTATCTTTTGGAGATTGCCTCATCATCATTTTGACATTGATTATGGAGTTATCCCCCCCCCCCCCCCCACTTTTTTGGGAGAATGAATCCTCTTTGATTTCCTAGGAAGCATTTCCTGGGATGTGACTTGTGGCTCCTTCTAGTTTACTCCTCTAAAATCATTCTCTTTCTCTTGATGAATACTGTTTTGCAACTGTACTTTTTGAGATGATAATGAGAGCATAGTATAATTTTTGAAATGATGTTCGGTTCACTGAGCAATTGATCCCTTTTAAGAAATGAACTAGCATTCAACAGAACAGATTAAATCAGAAAAAAATGTCATGTGCTTGTAGTCCAGTTTCTGATTTGAGAAGGAAGGAAAAGGCCTGGCTTTGCTAGTCTTTTGATAAGGTATGTTGTTCGTGTGATTCCAGAGTCTTAGAGCTGAGGGACGTATGTTTTAATCTTCTACCTAATCCTAGAAATCCCTTCGGTTTTTCTGAGAGAGAGCAACATTTAAATCGGCCATAACCGTGGTGCCTTATTGAGGCCATGATAAAAACCTCCTTCAGCAAAGAGGAAAACCTCCCCATGTCTAACTGTAGCCCATTGCTGGGCACGGAGGGATTTTTGGGCCTTTGTAGTCTGTTGGCAAGAGTGTGTGTATGCCACTTGCCCAAGTTTACCAGATTCTCCTGTGATATGTGTACACATCTTCATAGTTAGAATTTAGCGGTAGCACCTTGATTTCTTTGGAGACAGCTGGCCTTGAGTTCAGCAGAATGTGATATGCCCTAATGGATGTTCCAAGATCTGTGGACACCTCGAATTTGAGCTCTGTCACCTCCATTCCCTGCCCTCCTCAGCACAAACAAACCTGAAGACTCTTTAGCAGACTTTAATAATGAATGGGTTTCTCTCTCCTCCCCCCTTCCCTCCAGTTTCACTCTCATCAGCTGTTTCACATCTTTGTGGTTGCTGGCGCTTTTGTTCACTTCCATGGCGTCTCAAACCTCCAGGAGTTCCGTTTCATGATTGGCGGAGGCTGCAGTGAAGAGGATGCACTGTGACACCTTCCAGAAGCTGGGGACTGTGACCCTGAACAGGCCCTGCAGCGTCTGCAGGCCTCCCTTACTGGCCATTGATGCCAGTGCCAGAGGAGCCCCAAAACTTGGACAGCCTCGTGGGCTTTGTGATGCCCCTGGGGCTCCACCTGGTACACGACTGAAAAGAGAAAAACAAAAATAAATCATACCTCAAAGGATGGAGTGCATCAATTTGGAGAAAAGGAGAAATGGCCCAAACCCTGACTTATAATTGGGATCTACTGATTGAGGGCTCTGCACAACCTTGGCAAACTGGCTTCTGATCCGTGTCACATTTCTTTGTAGAAGATGGGAACACAGTTTAGCTGGTGGTTCGTTCTTCTCCCTTTCTCAAATCAATAATACAAACCAATTTAGGTGAACATTTATATCCTATTAAAGGGTGGGAATGTGATTTTAGATGCTCTTTTGGGAGAACAAAGAAATTAATGTAAATAAGATTTCTAACTTACTGTTTAAAATAAGAATTTATATAAATGTTTAAAACAGGGGTATGGGAGGGAGGGGAATTTTGTATAGAATGAAACATGCAAGTACCACACACTGTTTCAATTTTGCACAAAGTGACTGTAGGAGGATCAGGTGATGGCCCCAGAATGTATAATGCCTTGGTGCACCAAGGTGCCTTCTAAAGGCTGGCATACCTTGGACCCTGTGGGGCAGAAAGTACAGCTCCAGCCCAGTGATCACATGACCACTCTCATGTCTGAGAGCCTTTGGGAGTCCCAAGGTAGAGGGAAGCTGTATGTGTTTTCTCAGTGGAAGCAGCACGTGAATGGTTGACAGGATGTTAGATAAAGGCTCTAGTTAAGGTATCACTCGAGAGGCTGGTTTTCTGTGCTGAGAGTGACCCCTTCTAAAGAGTAGAGCCATTTACTTGGGAAAGTCAATTATGCCAGCAAAGGGGTAGTGGAGACAGTGGGGGGAGCTCTGGAAGTGTTAGCCCAGAGGCTGATCTGATTACTTCCTAGCATCCTATTCAATTTTGTAGTGATTTTTATCTGCAGGGATGTGACAGTTTTCCATATCTTTGCTGTGGAGCTCTGGAACGCCCCAGAAATTTCCTTCTGTTAAAGGCACTGCCCTAACCACCCTTCCCCCTCTTGGGAATACAAATGGACTTTTCCCTGGCATCATAGTTCCTGGCATGGAGCCAGCCACAAAAGAGACTCCGACTTGCCCAGGTGCCTCCTGAGCTCATTTACATAGGTTGGGAGAATGCTTCCTTTGGATCAGAAAAGGTGAATTTCACCTCTGGCACCATTGTCTTAGTAAGCCTAGTCGTGACACACATATCAGCTGTCCTTGAACAAGAAAGCCAGTAGAACTCTTGTAAAGCAAGGTCTGGTACCCACTTTGGAGTCATCAGTATTCCCTGAACCCCAATTTTTGGGGATAGCATGGTAGGAAGTTGTGAAAGAAAATGGTATGTTATTGCCAGGGAGTCTGGTACAGCTATATCTTTAAAGAGCTGCTAGAAGTAGAAAAAAGGTTGCTCATGCCCCAGAGGTACCCTGTTACGGTGTCAGGGAAAGTGGTAGGGGAAGGATCTGGTTCATAGAATTCTAATCTTGGCTCACAGACAAACCACCAAAATAGCACTTGAGTCTTAGGTTACTTCCTGTCACCCAAGACTTCAGGTGATTGAGTTACATCTTGGGGATTGTGGGTTTTAGAACTAAACATTGAAGCCCTAAGCATAGGGGCTGGCACCCTCCAATAGGTGTTTGGTGTATTGGAAGGGTCTCCTATCCAGCAGAGCATTTTCTTGGTTATTAATCTCCTTTCTCTCCCCTTCCAATCTCCAGCAAAAGCTGGGAACCAAGAAGAAGGACTCCATTGTAGAACTGGGGAAGAACTTGAAAGTATTTTGGTTCTGGGGAAGGTCACTGCCTTGGGTGCCAGGGGACCCAGCAAAAGACTTGAGTGGGTGAACTGGTGCAGTGCCTGACAGAATAAAGAACAGTATTACTCCCTTTGAGGGAATAGTCCAGCAGGGCAGTGGCCATCTGGAAGGAAGGACACTTAATCTCATGGAAGCAACAGCACATATCAGAAGCCAGACTTGTTCTTTGGTCATGCACTTTGGGACACAGGGTATAAGATGCAGCCCTGTAACAACAACGGCAGAAGTAGTAGTTTCTGGGCCGTCACCCCACACCCCAAAGGAGGAGCTGAATCTGGTTCAACATAGCACAAACTGTTAGGAAAAATGAAATTAACATCAGTGATGTGTAATCCAGTAAAAATCTCCCTCTTTAGGGTGTGTGTGCGAGTGTGTGTGTGTGCCCCCATTTATATGTGTGTGTCTATGTGCAGCTCACTACCAACAGCCTCACTGTGCACTTGGTCTTCACAGTGCTCGCTGAGAACTCTCACCAGGTTGGCGCCTGAATGCCTTACTCTCAGCATCAGAGGCTTGCTTGCTCTGTGCAGATTTTTAATTTTCTTTGTTGGCCCTAGGCTGGTTAGGACCTCTCGAGCTTCATTCTTTCACCATTAAATAGTGGCCTTTTTCAGTATTTCCCCCCTTCTCCTTTATAAATTGCTGAAGCCACAAAGCACATTTTGGGGATCATAGAAGGTTGGGGTTCCAGAAAGGCCTCTGTGTGATGGTTCCATTCACCATGGGATTTCCCTTACTTGCTGTATTCTCAACTTCTAATAAAAAGAACCAAATGGAATATGAACATTTGTTGTGTACTGTCTTATTGCCTCGGCTTACCTCCCTTGAAGCCTTAATTTAGACAGTGAAGCTTAAGAAATCGTCAGAGACTTCCCATTCTGAATGCACAAATCAAAGTTATTTATGCCCAACTCACTTTTCCTGACCTTTCTTAAGCTTTCATTACTACTGGGACCAGGTTTAGAATGGAGGGGAGCGCTAACTCCAAGGGGTGGTTCTTAATTTATGATTAAAGTTTATCAGAATAATACCTAAGATGATACTTTTTTTAAAAATTTTTTTTAAAGATTTTATTATTTGAGAGAGAGAATGAGATAGAGCATGAGAGGGGGGAGGGTCCGAGGGAGAAGCAGATTCACTGCTGAGCAGGGAGCCCGATGCGGGACTCGATCCCGGGATTCCAGGATCATGACCTGAGTTGAAGGCAGTCA